GCAGACTCACAGGAACGTTTCTAGCCTGGTGTTTACTAACAGTCAGTCGTAAGTCATTTCTATGCATTTTAGCATACTGTTATAGAGCCATGTTTCTTCGATTTCTATTACACCGATTTTCGCGCATCTTGTAAATCTAGTCTTGCGTGTGGCTAAACCCATAGATTGCTCCGTTTCATCCAGTAATGCTTGCACCGCTAGTGTGATCTGAGACCAGTTTAACGGTGTGTTTGGTTTCTATGATGAAAGCGCACACGAAGGAACCGCACACGAAAATTGCAGGCAGCAAAAGGCGCACAGACATAAAAGCGGACATGAAGATTGCGCACATGTTATGAATCTGGTCTCATTGTCACAAATGCCCATATTATCTATTTGTGGCACTTACAATATCCAATTTTTGGCTAATGCTTTCAAGACTAGTGAATTGTGACAATTGTGGCGTTCACACCCACGGTGTTCGTTAGTTCAACCACTGGGAACGTACCGTACTGCGCAGTGTTGCGAAACCATCTACAGAACTATACAGACTAAGCATCACTCGCCTACTGCAGTTAGTCGAGGTTTCAACGAATCGGTGCCTCAAAACCCATTGTGTGTCAGCAGACCGAATTAATATTCTGCCTTCCCTCGCCATCCATTTAAGAGTTGCTGAAATCGAAGTCAGCTATCATCACCTGAGCCGAAGCCTCATAAGGCATGTCAGCAACGTGGGCCTAAAGACTTCCTTTGAAATCAATGTCAGCCGGAAACGCCAACTCAAGTATCTGGTTGCACTGACCATTGTCCCGGTCGTTGATATAAGTGAGGTGGTCGATGATTTTTGCACTACATTTTCAACTGAAGAATCCTGTAATACGCTGCTCACATACCTCTGCACGTACGGTTGGGAAACAATCCAGGGCAATATAGTATGCTTTACTTAATACTCACATTAGGAATTTTTGTCGCAAAAAATCCAGCTGCTGGACAGTCTTCTTGGTAGTGAGAAGGAGACATCAAGACTTCTATGGGTTATCGGAATGAACGTCATCCCAGAGCCGCTCCATACAACGTTGCATCCGGGGGGGGGGGGATAATTGGGCACGTCTTCAACACTTGGGCCGATCCTCTGACTGGGCTGCATTTTTCCGCTCCACACCTAACTCACCAGGACACAATGCATGAAGGTGTTTCAATCAAGCTAGACATAAGCGTGATTGTTAGTACTCTGGTATGCACTTCGTAGCAGACTACTTTTGGAGCTCTGGCTCAAGGCAGCGTCCTCCAAGCAACCAACAGACACGGCAAACTGAGTCGCACCTGGTAAGGAGACCAATTCAAATGGCATCACTCAGCCAGCCTGCGGAATTGGCAATCATACCCCATTCCTTAAGCACGCGATTGTTCAGGACACGAATTGTCGCCAGCATAAGATAGAAAAAACGATTAGTACCTGACCTCTCAACGGTTGGCGCAACCTCACCTCCAATTCACACGTCCCCGGCCCACTACTGATGTCAGAAGTATCGTACGCATGGGACCTCAACATTATGAAATGTGGTTCCGCGCACAAATTACCAAAGCCGAAGTCGCGATGAAGGGGATGCCCCTTACGCACAAATATGGTAAACGGAAATGGAATACTTATAAATTGTCAGTACAATCATTTCTTCACTTGAATTTGCTATTGCTAATCGGTAGGTATCGGTTTTGTTTGCGACCGCCTTTGTGACGATGTCGTCCGTTCATCTGAGAAGTCTCTTGATTCTGTGATTTTAAAAAAACTGACGCGCGACCAGTTTACTTGGTACCTGCCCAGGTAAGGGCGTAACCAGTTATCCCGTAACACCATAGATTTAATTTGAGTCAGAAGTGAGAGACGATATGAAGAGCTATCGAATGCTTACGATCGCTCGTGCAACCGCGATGCGTGCCGATACTCCCACAATCCTAGTACGCACGAATCACCAGTGACGTTTGAAAGTGTTACCACTTATGTACGCACAATGTACGAGTGCCTATTCATGCGCTGATCTGGACTGCATTTTCATCAATGAAATGCGCACGTGAAAAATTGCCCACTTAAACAATGCGAGAACGGGCTAATCACTCGAAAAAAGATTTCAAATTGAAAGAGGCGGAGCATAGCTTGAAATATAATGGTACAGGATTTTTTCCTACGAGTACAATTTTCCGTTGAGCGCCAATGGCTTAACGCTAGGTTTAACACCGGCAAGAACAACAAGGGTAATTATTGCAAATTAGCTAATCTATGCAAGTATTTAAACCGGTCTCCCGTTGATTCATCATCTCAAACACAAAAGCAACGGCAACTTTCAACGCATCTTATCTTTTCTTCCTCACCTCAAAGCGATCTACACGCACATTCACTAGTGTAAGTCTGTGGCATTCCAACTCCCTCTGTAGTCCATCAAACAAATGCCATAACGCTTGAATGACTGCAATGGAATAAGGAATTCAAAGCATTGTGAATTCCTCCGCAGCAACTGATGGTTTCGGATGACCTATCAAGAACGTCATTGTGATGGTTCCAAATTTGCCATGGGTACTGCAGTTCTCGGCCTACTGACCCTTCAATGTAAGTCGAGAAAAAATAATTGGGCACCGCATTATCTGATTTAGATTCATTTAGAAATGTGCTAGCAAGCTCATCAGAACTCCTCTCACTTCAGCGACTAGGACTAAGGAAAGTGCAGCCAGCGGCTTCAGCTGGCTATAGTTGAATTTTGACATCCATTTCAAGAGCACTCTTTAGGCCGACTTTGCAGACTTTTGTGATACTACTTCGGCGCAGGTGGAACTAGCATCCTTTACTTATTGCGCCGGGAAATGTGAATTTTTCAGCATTAATAGAAGTCTTCTCAAACTCGACTAACACCTTTGTTTTCAGATATTCGGTAACATTCGTTTCATTATTGCAAACATTCTTGTATAGTTCTGCAACAGGATGTAAAGGTAAGCGGGATAACTTTTGCCCACGTTGGCGTGCCACGTATACGGCAGATAAAACGTGTCGAGAACTTTATCAAAACTGTCGTCCCCATATATGGTGTCTGTGCACAACTCCAGTATTAGCTCTTTATCAGCTAACATGAGAATCCTCTCTGCATCATCCATACCTGAATCTTGTAGAATTAGTTCTGAGTACTGCTCAGGAATAGCGAAATTTGTGCTTGTTGGACAATGCAAATGACTGCTTTTTCGGTGACTTAGATGAGTTCTTGCAATGGATGATTGTTTGGGAAAGTGGACCAAAGCATCACTACTCAGTGCAGACAACACATTTCCTTCTAACGTTGCGAGGTGTAGCACTGACTGCCCTCATGTCCACTTTCATTTGGTTTCGTGCAACATTTGCGTTCGCTTTTTGAGAACGAGTTATGACGGCGCGCAGCCGGCTGTTGCAAGATGATGCCGTCGCGTGTCTTCTTCAGTGGGGGACACTTCACACCTCGGTTTTGCCTACATCTCTAAGTTACCACTCCTTCGATAGTATGGTAAGCAAGCTATTCCAACCCCAAATATGTCAAAACTAGGTTGCCCTTCTGATTTCTGAACTTGTTATAACGCTGGGCCCGCAATTGACCGGTTGATTCACCTGCTGCTAAATCTGTGCCCTTACGCGTGCTCCGTTTGACGCCTTGGCAAACCCGACCGGAAGGAAGACAGAAGAAGACTCAGCAGACCAGAGTTCTATTAGGGTAGAGAACGCTCATATTTATATGTCGGTGTCACCAGGCGGATTTGGCTCTAAGCCCACGCTTCACACCTACTTGTCCGCTCCATCCGTCCAGTTCACCGTGTTGCTCGGGCACTCCAGTCTTCGTCCGCCTATCCGGCGCCTGGCAACGCACGTGATGTCTGACGCGCGATTTCATCAGCATCCGGTCAGGTCTTGGCGACACGCCTGCTGTCGGATCATTATCACCTTTCGGCTGGGCCCTGGTAACACGCTCGCAGGGTCTTTCCGAAGCACGGTTGGTGACAAACGCGCGAACGTTGGCACTCCGCTTTCTCGCCCAACTGTCAGAACTGCTCCAAAGGTAACAGTGCAACAATCATAGTCCATCCTTCATTAAGCGCAGGCATCCTGTGGTTGTCTACATGCGGGACACAGTAACAAGCAGAACCGAGAACGGACGCTATCAGTCATGATTCACACCCGTTTAGACATGCATGCGGGGTCATAGTTGTCCATTCGTGCGGCTGTAATATTATTGCGAAGTTTACCATTTTGTGGGATCTTGTTACTAACTTTTCCCCCATCAATATGAGTCAACCTTTGTTTGTATTATTAAAGCCATTGGTAACATGTTTACGTTACGGGGTAAGGTGATTTATACGGTGATGGTTGGAATTGTTAAACTGCTAAGCAGGCATTTGTGAAGAGGAAAAATACAACTCGATCTTAAGATTGGACAAAGCGCTGGAGATGAGTCAAATAATCCCCCCACCGGATGCAACGTTGTATGAGCGGCTATGGTGTGACGTATATTCCGATACCGAGGTTAAGTCTTATTGGCTTGTAGTCATTGCCAGCAACATGTCCAGTAGATTGTTTTATGCGACAGGAATTCCTAATGTAAATATTAAGCAAAGTACGTCATATGTGACCAAGTTAACAGCTTGCGAAAATGTGTTCACTTTTAGTGCGCGCAATCTTCCCTGTCCGCTTTTATCTCTGTGCGCTTTTTGCCGTCTACAATTTTTTGGTGTACGGTCACTTCATTTGCGCTTTATTCTGGTCACCGTGTGCTTGAATAGTTACCTAACAAACTTGCTTTGTTGTTTCTATCAGACTAATTGAAGTTGCTGTCGCTATTATCTTGAAATTAAAGTGCCATTCTTATATCCCCATAGGAAGTACTCACTCGAATTCATTTGATCAAACTGTAAACTATCGGCTTGCATTTATGTCAACTGCGCTTCAGACCTGCATAGCTGATTTCAAACCCCTGCGCTTATAATCACTTAGACTTGTCTCTTGTATTTTCCAGTTCATATTTTCCCCTGATGTTACATTTTGCTCCAATCTGGGTCACTTCTTCAACGAACAACACATCCGTGTGTTCGAAGTCAATTTTAACCCAAGAAGCGACTCAGTATCTGCTTTGAATGCCGCAGATGGACTTCGCTTGTCGCTGCGTGTCATATTGCGAGCAAACCAGGAGGTCCTACCTTCGACACTCCCTGATTTTGATTGGTGCAGCCTATCGAGTGAGCAGACGACCGTTGATACAAGTCAGATGCCGCCGGTTGTGGATGATAATGCCTTGTTAAGGCATCTGATTTCGCTCCCAGCCAATGATCCGTCATTGCCGGCTTTTCTTTTCTGATCCCGCCCACAAGGTTGTTTTTAATTCCGTCACACACATACACACGTTCATCTGTCTGATTGATGATTTCTCATCGTTGCTGTTTTGGACATTCGTTTCAGTCACCTGTCAACGATGTTAAATTTTTTGTCACCACCGCCATCCCCGTCTCAGCTTGGTCACTGTATATTTCCGCATACCTCGTGTGGGACCTGTCTTTCACAAGAGACAACGGGACACTTCATCCTGTAAAAGACAGATTGCTAACATTACATTGTATGGTTAGGTTACTCGGATACACAACCGTTGCTCGTGTCCAATTTGATGAGCTTGTTGCCCCTTCCCTCGCCTTTTGGCTAGATTTTCTTTTCTATTCAAATTGCCCCACCAGTGTTCCGTTGAACCAAGTTCATTTTATTTAACCTTGAATTGCTGACTATGACATTTACACCTGCAACGGAGAACTCATGTGTTTCACCTAAATTGCTCGAGTTGCACTCACGTACTACCGCTTAGACTCGGGTTAACCGTTGTTCGCGCCGTTATTCACTCTTCTGACTCTTATGCCTTATTTTATTAGCTGTTTTGTGATGCAAATACGAAATATAGTGCGTTTTGCACTGATCTTCGAGCTGAATGATCACTTGGCAAACGTTTCGCTACCAGACTAGACAACATCGTCAATGCGGCTTTACGGGCCTGTTTCGCAGCGCCTCGTAAGCGACTTCGAGATCTAAGTGATTATTGTTCGAGTTTTGCTTTGAATACCAGGCTTCAAGAAACACATGCTTGCCGGCTTGTGGCTCGTCCAATGATTTTGACGTGCCCCAAGTCAAGCTGGTGTCCTTCGTCACCCAATTGCACGGACATCGAAGAGTTCTTATCATGACGGCGGATGGCTAGGCTATGTTCATGCAGCCATGTGCCATGCTCTCTTCATGTTTATCCTACGTAGTACTTGTCGCAGTCTCGGCAACATATTTTGTAGTTTGCTTAGTAGTACTTACGTTCGTCCTTGACTGGGTCAGCACAAGTGCTGTGGTCAAACATGGACATGCACTAACTTGTTTACGGCTCAGTTGTGTGGTGGTTCATCTGAGCTTCTCTTGAACAGTGGTCTTCTTCATCGTTCATTGAGTGGTTAGGATTCGCGGGACCGCAGCCAACTCTACTTCCGTCCAACTACTTTACTTACGGAAAACTGCGCAGCGGTCATGCGGTTCATTTGATTATTACTGGTATAACACTAATAAATTATTTCACCTCAAACCGAGGCAATCCCCTTATGGGCCTGGATTAGTGTGCACACTGATCAACTTGGCAACCCTTTGAAACCAATAGAGTCGTTATTCTACCTATTTTCGGGAGAACGGTATTCAACTTGCGTCGCTTTGTGTCTTATAACACAGTTACATGAGGTGAGAATGTGCGGCAGAATATACGGCAGTCGATCTACCGGAGTACTTGAACATCGAGATGTTCCTAATGGATTTCACGCAGGAAAAATGTTTATTTTTCGTAGTTTGTTGATCTGAAACCCGTGACGAGGTCTCAAGGACACAACTGACCACTGACGCAAATCGCCCCTACCAAGCTGGATTGCAGCGTTGAGGACGTGCGCAAATTTCTCACTTAGTCTTGGTGGTACCAAGCCTGCCGGGCTTGATGGGCTCCATCCGCTGATTCTCAAATCGCTATCGGCCATCATCTCTCCTTCAGTGACTGAGCTATTCAACAGGTCACTGTCCGCCGATTCATTGCCGAGCGACCGGAAATGCTCAGTGGTGAGCCTGATTCCGAAAGGTAGCGATCCGAGCAAAGTGGACAACTATCGGTCGATATGCCTGACCTCTGTCTTGGCTAAGACACTCAAGAAGATTGTGAAGCGTTGTCTTCTGCAGCATCTCGAGTCAATAAGCATATTGACGCCTGCGCAGCATGGTTTCATGAAAGGTCGGTCATGCATCACAAACCTGCTGCTCTCGAGGCACGAATGGTTGCAAGCGCTAAACCAAGGGAAGTCGGTTGACGTCATTTACATCGATTTTAGTAAAGCGTTTGACAAGTTGAACCATGATATCCTCCTACGGAAGCTGAAGATGTGCGGGGTTGGGAGCCCACTGCACCAGTGGATCAGTGACCTCTTTATTGATCGGACGTGGAGAGTACAGGTGGGCAATCACTTGACCGAGTGATATACCTCGACCAGTGGCGTCCCGCAGGGCACAGTTCTTGCGCCCATTTTGTTCCTGATCCACATCAATGATTTGCCTCAGCTTATCAGTTCACCTTGCCCGTTGTTTGCAGATGGCCTCAAGGTATGGAACGTAATTGCGACGCCCCAGGACTGCGATCTGCTTCAGCTTGACCTTGACCGCCTCTTCATGTGGTCAGCAAAGGTCAATCTTCCGGTCAATTCGGTATTCATGAGCCTGGGTAAGTGTGGTAATGGCTGAGTCTACGATCTGGCTGGCTACAGTTACACCCATTGCCATCCGTAAAAGTTCTCGGCCTACTCCCACGCTGCAATTTGAAATCCGTTGCAAACGTGAACAGATTTCACCAAAGCGCATGCTCTGGGCGCTCAGACGCCGCTTCTGCACTTGGAAGAGGTTGTCACTCGCCTCTTCTCTTCTATTATCAGACCAGGGCTAGAGTACAGCTCACCCGCTTTCTGTCCGCTCACCGAGGGCGGGGTGCGTAGAATTGAGCGGGTAAAGCATGTGGTCACAAGACTCATCCTCGGTTTACGAGGTGTGTTATATGAAAACCGGTGGCAAGGGACTATGGTTGTACACCCTTGTACTCGAGTGCGGGTTGACCACATTATGACGCGCCGGATATTCACTATGCACGTTAGCTAGAGGTGAGAAAGACAGCTACTGTGCCGCAATACATAGAAGAAAAAGGAGGTAAATGCAACAAGTTCAAGCCAGCTGAGCTACCGGTAACGGATGGGCATCGTTCCGATAAGCTACCAGCCGACTACTATGCAGCAAAAAAATTTACTATGCAAACTTATATAAGGCTAAATAGTGAAATCGTGGTTGGAGGGGGAGGTTAAGAGGGATGGGGTGGGACAAAGAAACTCACAGCACGAACGCCACTGAGGTCGGCTCCTAGCCATATCAGCAAGTGTATCCAACCAAACGTGTTCATCGTCTTTCGAACCCCAACCAGGGAGCCGAGACGCTCCAACCGAGGCCAGCTCAGAAGTGAGGGCCTTCATTCCTCTGGACCAAGTCATCGCTTGGCCACCCCTCCTCTTCTTCTATCCACAACCGTGGCGCGCAAACAACACACGTCGCGGGAGTCGGTGGACTGGCATGCGTAACACATGGCCGAGCCATCGGAACTTGGTACGTGAAATGACAGTGCTGAGCGGTTCATTTCCTTTTCCTGTGCCATGAACAAGGCGTCGAACACGCCCGTTGCTTACTCGGTGTTCCCACCAGATGTGAGCTAAATTGCGAAGGTACCGGTGGTCGAACATTACTAGCCTCTTTATGTTCGTTGATCTAAGGGGCCACCTTTCACAACCGTACATTAGGGTCGAATGTACCGGCTTGCAAACTAACACAAAGTTGACATCCATCAACGCACTTCTAACAATAAAAGCCGTATCTTGCATTTATAAAAACGTCAAAGGACTTCTAAGTAAGTTGGCCGAACTTAGAGAACTCCATGCTTCACAACCGCGGGACCTCGTCATGATTACAGAGACCTGGTTAAACCTTGAGATAACCGATTCTGAGATCAATTTTCATGGTATGTCGCTGCTTCGGACCGATAGAACCGGAAGGGGTGACGGTGTGATTCTTTATTACAATAAAAACCTCCGACGTGAAGTTATTGATCACCCGGAAATTCGAGCTCCTGATTCGATTCGGTGCCGCCTATGGTTGCGAAACAAGTACACGTCTACTGTCCGGCATTTACCACGCGCCAAAACCAACGTCGGAAATGGACTGCAAACTAAACCACGTCTTTCAGTTTGCTTTGAACAAGTCCTGCACCCAAATTCTTATCGCTGGAGACTTTAACGTGCACGACATAGAAACGCCAGCAACCGACGGTACGCAGTTTAAAGGCTGCTTGCAAGAGCTAATTGCTAGCCACCCTCTGTACAACCACGTAACCTCTCCCACCAGATTTCGAACTGCTAACAAGCCGTCGATACTGGATCTTGTGCTAACTAACGAAGAATGGAGGATGATAAAGTGCATACTGTCACGCACCATAATGAGTTATCTAAGCTTGTTAAGGATACATCTTGGACTTTCTTAACCGAATGCCCCCCAGATGTTGCCTGGGAAATCTTTACAATTGCCTTTAGCATACTGGTAGCGCACACGTCGGAACAGAAGTCCTTCCAGCCCCAAAACAATCATAAGTCATTTCTGAGGAGCAGAACACATAAATGTATGTCTCGGAGGGATTTGGCATGGTAAGATCACAAGGACTGCTCGAATGCCGAAACCTGGACTGCATGCGTGATACATCGTAACTTCTGTGTGAAACTGATCCGCGAAGACAAGGTCACGCATAAGCAGGAGTTAATGAAGAGATTCTGCACTAACCGCAAACTCCTGTACAGACACGTTAACGGCCTTCAAAAAGTGAAGCGGAAGGTTCCAGCGCTAGTCACAGCTGATGGGTACACGCGATCAGCGATGGAAACAGCTGATCCTATACGGCTTCATTACTCCCAAACTTTCCAGCAGGTAACGAGCCCAAATATTCTCATTTCTAATACTCCACCATCGGGTTTAGACAATATCAACTTCACTGCGGAAGCTGTGTTGAAGAAGTTGTTATCCTTGCGTATCCACAGCTCTCCTGGAGTCGACAACATCCGACCAAAGGCTCTGCAGGCGGTAGCTAGTGCTTTAGCAGAACCACTGGCTGTTTTCTATCAGCGATGTCTAGAAGCGAACCATATTTCACCAGTATGGAAGCTAGGGGTCATCACTCCTAACCATAAAGGAGGTAGCCGCACTAAACCTGCCAACTGCCGTCCA